CACTGGCTGATGTACGAGCAGCCCCACTACAGAGGCAGGATGATGTACCTGAGGCCCGGAGAGTACAGGAGCTTCAGGGACATGGGAATGGGTCCCATGGACATGAGGATCGGATCCATCCGGCGTATCATGGACTCCTGTTAGAGAATGGAACAGGCTTCAGACTTGAAAATGTAACCAATAAATATTAATAAAGAATTTATCAATTTATCTTCATGTTGAGTTTCAAAACATCAACCAGTAAGCTATGAGGATTTTTAGGTGCTATCACAACATCACAGAGAAAACTGCATAAATTATCAGCATCCAACTGTTTCTGTATGTCAAAGGACAGTTTGGGCTGTAGTGAATGCTGTTATTTTAATAACTGTATCACACAGAAAGGTCAAGACTTCTTCTACTTATGAAATGTGTTATGTCATATATGATGCATGTGACATTAAAAATGTATTTCAAAGGATGAAAATAGTAGCTCTGTGACTGTGCATGGTTTTCCAGAAGTTTCCTGAAATCCCTGCAATAGACACGATACAATATAGTTTATTTGTATGTTAAAGAAAATATGTGGCTTGAGGAAGACATGCCATTGTTTTACTCACATGTCTTAAAGTGTCACAATTCCAGTAACACTTGTAGGCCCTTTTCACAGTATACATAGTCTTCCATAGCCATACTTGGTTTTAGCATTGTGCCAGCTCTGGAGAAAGGTCTGGCTGAACTTACTATCATTCAAGGACTATCGTACAAGGGAAAAAAACACTGTCTCCTTTGGTATTTATTTAAACCAATCAGAATTGTCTAAGCCCAGCATGCAGTGACAAAGTTAGATGAAGGGGAGTAGAATTCCGACTGACATGGTCAGCAAATGCTTACACCTGCAGCTGCCTTCCTGTGAGCCAGACTACAGCATATATTAGGGAACTTTTTCACTTAATTACTCATAATCCTTAATTAGTATCATTGGTAATTCCTGTGTTTACCCTACTATTTCATGTCAAAATGGCTGCTGTGAAAAATGTCTATTGGCATGTCATAGCAGGAAAATGGCAGGATTTGGATTGTATTTTTCTCTGAGTATTTTCACTCTCTTAAAGGCCTGTATGAAATGATTGCACTGAGCAGAAAAAGTTTGAACAGGCATGTAAATATTGTTTTGAGACAGACAGAAAATTTCAATGTATCCTTTAACGGAACAGAGTGACCATTAATGTTTTAAGTCTTCATCTTGTGATGCAACACACACAATGTTCCTCCAGGAAGCTGAAAATGCAAATTCAACCAATCCCTGTGAATTCTGCACGACTTTGCAATTTTAGCCAATCACCGAAAATTTTACCAATCATAGTTTCTCGCAGTCATCAATCATAGCAGTCCCCCACACAAAATGTTGTGCCACTCGTCATTAAACTTTGTCATAACAATTTTATTCTCACTGGAAAAAGTTGCCGTTTTTTTAATAAACTACACAAAAA